GGTTAGGGAGCTTGACTCACAATCTGAGGGTCACGGGTTCGAATCCCCGTCCCACCAAACATGCTTGCCCGTTTCAGCCGTGGGGGCGTTATAATGTAACGGTAAATCCCACTATTCGTTGGTAAAAGAGTAGCCCAAGAGTTGGTGGTAGGTGATGATGACTAGCTGTCTTCTATTTAGTCTTTCACTGCTAAATTAGGGACGGCTAGCGCAGATAGCCCTCGTGTAGCTTTGCGCGCAATTCAAAACAAACAAACAAGTAGATTTATAGAACATTCATTTATATTCATCTTAAACGGGTGCATTATTTCTCGAAGTGTCATATATATTGTTTACACATTTCTTTTTTCTTCTTATTCTTACTATCAAACAAACTCGTCCCACGAATAATCCATTGTTCGTAAAAATTCCGGTGTACCCATCAAGCTCCTTCAAAAGTACTTCTGTAGCTATTCAAATAGGATCTATACCCCAAAACAAACTCCGTTATAACACCTACCGATTTACCTAAGCACATGTGCCATGTTTAGTCCCCCTACCTAACGAGTAGGGGGATAAACACCGTTTCAAACAAGGTTTTCCAGGGATCCCGAGGGGGCCAAGAACATAAAATACAATGTAAGATTTGGGTTCAGCGATTCTGAAAACCCTGAAAACCTACTCTTAGATCCAATCATGCCTCATTCCGGGCGGGTTTTAGTCCTCATTGATAGGGCGCTATTTAATATAGATAAGGACATCAACCGAGCCACTCCTGTCCCACCTGCCAAGTTTGTTCCTCCTAACTCCAAAACTGTAGGAAGGGTTTGCGTCTTTTCGCGAACAAATAAACAAATTGATAAACACACACAACGTAAGTTAATATAGGATTATAGTGGAGTTTCTTAAACAGTGTCCCCGGGGTATGCGGAACGAAAAGGGGGAAAAAAGTAAGTAAAAAAGGCGGTAAAATTTTATTGTTGTTGTTTTTCTTTTTCATTGCTGTAAACTTGCGATGTTTTTATGCATCCAAACTTTGGGAATTATAGTTACCAATATCGGAACTAGTAACAACTACTGTTAAAAAAGATTTTGTAACTGAAAAGATGTAATTTTTATATATTTTCTTTATCAGAATCATGAGGGTATGCAATTATATATGAAGTTTGAAAAGTAGTACGCCAGCGTCAAAAGTGTGAAAACTACTGGATCCTAGTAATGTACCAAGAGCAAATCAAACATGCGATCCAAATAACAGGAAGGAAAGTCTTCAGTCACTCTGTGGATTAAGTTTACAGAAACGAAGACATTGTGTACCTTGTTATATGAGAGAGTACTGTGTTATCATAAGTTGAGAGAAAAAGCTGATTAGTGTACGATATATGAAAAATAATATAAATATATAATCCAAGCCCCGTACATCAAAACCACACAACCTGGTATATTATACTTTCACGTTTTTGCTTCGTACTTACGACCTAATCTTCAAAAATGACGTCATGGATGGATTGGATGAACCAATGAGAGCACTCTATGGATTTATCTCAGCATTGCTCGTAAATGTCAGTTCAGCATTCAAAGCACAGCTCCGCCTATAAAAGTGGACGTTTTTTCACATTCTCAGCTTTCTCAACAGTGACCTCCTCGAGAAGAAACCTGCCACTGGTTGTAGAGGGAGAGAACAATCTATTTACCCAAAACAATTTTAAAACTAGAAACTGGTAAGATTGTGGTGTTGTATTATATTTAGAGAGGAATAATAGTTTCATTGTTTCAACAAATGTTTGACTTTAGGTCAGCTTAAACTATATTTTTCACAGTTTCTGATAAATAGTTTAAAAGTTGTTAATATAAAAGAACGTATGAGGAGTGACAATTTATACTTTCTATATTAGAAAAAGAAATGTTCAGTACAAAACTGGTCAGTAAATTAAACTAAAACGGAAAGGAAACTTCCGATCGAAAAGAATGAACATCTAGACAAAAATTTATCATTTTGCTGAGTATAAATAATTTCAAAAATGAAAAACCTAAATAAATAATAATAATGAAAAAAAACATGAAGAATTTTGACTAAAACAGACTATAAAACTAATGGTAGTTAAATACACGATACGTTGAACTGGAATGGACACGTGAAACTTCTGTCTATATATATTTGGTATTGTGCCGTTATTGTAAATTTAAACTTTATTTTAAACTAGAAAACGTCTTCGTTTATTGTTTTCTGTTCAACTTCTCTTCCGTTTCGCGCCAGCCTTAAAGCAGATGTTATGCTAACGACTTTTATCACTTGTATCGATTTGTGTGTTTGTATGAACCGATTTAACTCGAAAAAGTTGGTAAAAAAAAAAGAGAAAGTGTGGTAAATTATTCAGAAAATTTTGGCCCTTTACCAAAATGTATAATATTGGGTTTATATATATGAGAATTTAGTCTGTCTTGATTTATTATGTTACAAATTATAAGGCACAAGTGGATCTGTTACAACTTAAGATAATGAAAATTTTAGGAACAGCGCGGAATTATGTCCATTTTATACTATCTTAAAGGAAATAATGCTGAATTGTTATAGTATTTTGTAATACATTATTGAGCTTAGCATACAAAATTATTAACAAAATACTAGAAATAATAAAGAAAATACACTTCAAAAACTATTTAACAAGTCAAGTAAAATTAATGCTAGATGAAAGCTGTTAGCAGTTGGTTTAATTCTCGGTTACTCTAACATTGCAGATTTTCAAATCTATATGTGCATTACTTAATTTCCATGAAAACGTAAGACACAAAAAAAATTAAATATTCCAAACGTTCAAAAAGTGAAAAAAAAAGATATTTCGTGTTGTGTTTTTTTATCTGATATATTGATTCTATTTGTGATTCATTTACAGAACAAAAAACCTTAGTTTTCGTCTTGGCCTAGCATGGCCAAGTGATTAGGACAATCTGAGAGTCGCGGGTTCGAATCCCCCATCCCACTGTTAAATTATGGACAGCTAGCGCAGATAGCCCTCGGGAATTTTTCCACAAAATTCACAACAAACCAAGTTTTCGTCTTTAATAAAAAATAAATTTAAATCAGACTTAGTTTCCTACCTTGAAATTCGTATTTAGCATCTAAACGTAAGAAATGTTATAAACAGAAAAAACACAATGAAAACATGAGAGGAAGGGTGGTATAATTTGAAGGGAAAAATATAGCTCGTAATGGATATGCTACGAATGATTATTTAAAAACTAAACGGTGGGATGCAAATTGGTTTGTTGCCATTTATCAGATTTGATAATCATATTATGTCGTTCTTATATGTGTATGAGAATTAGTGGTGATTCAATGTGTTGGTAAAATGACGTTGGCGTCAATAAAAAGATCTGGTACAGTGTTATTAAGTTATTTTTATGGTCGCACAAGTTAACCTAAATTAATTAATTCCGTCTCTCGTGTAGTTTGAGAGAAGCTTATAGGGGTATAAATCACATATAACCTTATATACTGATACTATTACCGATCTTCTTTATGATTTGCTGCTACGCATTAATGACAGCGTTAAGGATTAGAAATGATAACGGTGGAAACGTGATGTAAGTCAAGTGTAATTACTTTAATTCAATTTGTGGAGAATAAGAAATCAATGTAACAAAATCTCTTTACTTTGTTAATGGCATTATTCAAATTATTTGGCGTAATAGTATTGAAAGATATCTTGAAATTAAAATTCATTACATTGTTGTTAAGTTTGTGTGTGTGTGTGATTAGCGAAGTTATTTTAAAATATTAGTTAGTTCTACT